TTTTTATTTTTGTCCTATTTTTTCCAATTGATTCGCATTTTTCTCATTAAAAAAATTGAGCTGGCAACTCCGTGTGGCAGGGAAGAGATTAACGTTCTACTTGCACTTCCAAGTGCCACACTTGGTGTTCCACTTGTCCACGTGTTCCTTTTCAGCCGTGCGGTGCGGACTAGCCCGTCAACCGTGCATATATGCTCCTCATTTGCTTAACCCTGTGGGAACGACACAGTGTGTCGTGTAGTAACGTGTAGTGACGTATAGGGGTTCAAATGGGATGGGCCATACTGAGTAAAACACTTCCGGGGAGTGGTAGCGGGGGGGGGGGGAGCACTGACCCGTAACCCCTTCTCCCCACGTCTTTCCCACTTCCCGCTCTCTTTTCGGGCTCCATTGAAATTTCTTCGATCCAGCCGGACACTAAACGTATATAATGCTGGGCCATTTCCCTGCCCCCTCATTCGCTTGGTCGGTCGAGTCACCCCTGAATTGGGTGCATATATAGTAGCTCAGTAGCGCATCCCATTTCAGAAATCCCATGACCGTTTCCATGAGCCATGGGACATCAAGGAATGTCATGGGAAACATTTCCCCATGGAAGATAACTTGCCATGTATTTTTTGTCCATTTCCATGTGAGGTAGTTTCCATGGAAATAAGGTTCCTTGGCAGTTGACCGTTTCCATGGAATAGAGCACTAACTCCATGGAGTAATACCAAAATGTTTAAGTCCACAAAAATACAAAGAGAAATCTGATCGAAATGAATGAAACACACTTTGAGGGTGTCGGAATCGAGGCGGAGCCAAATCTGGTGCCCGTTTTTGCATAGCCCCAGCCGTTTTCGAGTTGCCAAAAAAAAGTTCTCAGATTTTAATGAAATTTAAACGGCCGTACTAAAATTCATCGTAGATGCTACATACTAAATTTCAGATCGTCCAATAATTATAGATTCGACAGCACTTTTAATTTTCACGATTCATGGGAAATTGTTTCCATGGTAAAGATAGGCAAGTGCCCAATGGGATAGGTCACCTCATGGAAAGAAAACCGTTCCATGAAGCCCTCTTGCATGGTAAGCATTTTTCCATGGAGCCTTTATCCATGGTAACAACTTTTCCTTGGAGTCCTCGCATGGAAAGCGATATTCCATGGAATCTTGTTCCATGAAAAACACATTTCCATGGTAACGCCCATGGAAACAAACACCACATGGAGTATGATGCATCTTACTTGGAAAACAGACCTCTAACCGTGGAAAAGAGATCAAGGAATTCCATGGGTATCCGTGGGATTTTTGCACTGGGCATTCAGGGTGTCCGTTGTCGGTTCCCGTTCCAGTTTTTATTTATTCATGTTTTTTGTTTGTTTTTTTAAATCAGCAGAGCACAAATCAGAAAGGAAAAAACAAAACAAAAACTAACCAGAAACAATTTATGATAAATCACGATAGGCAACCCTTCCGCACGTGTATCCATGGTGACGACCATCATACGCCCCACGTGTGGGGGACGGCCACCACCCTTTTGTTTTCCTCGTATAAGACCCAGAAATAAAGAATGAGGCGATAATCAGCGACAAGGACGACGTGACGTCCGTGAGACAGGGCCGACATGGCGTTCGTGCACATACACGATGAGGCCTTCGTTGCGGAGACAAGAGGGTGACGGTCAGGGAGGGATGTCTTCGTCGTCCCCGTTGATGCCGTAATCGATATACCGTCCAGCAGAAGGCCGACAACGATGTGATTGCGCCGAAACTACACGAGCGATAATAGGTCTCGCTATATCGCTGAATAAAAAACGATAACGATCCCTCGTTCCGATTGGCGAAAGGAAACCCAATGGTCGCTCAGTGCCTACAAACCAAATGGGCCCACATTGGGAGAATTCTATAGCCAAAGTGCGGGCTGGTGCGTGCTTGTTGAAACTGTCTTGCGATTCCCCCCCCCCCCCTCAGCGCCGCGTTGTATGTGATACGTCTGGTACAAGCGGCCCAAACGAGTTCGTTTTAAAACAAATGAGTAAACTCACCCGTGAAGCGCGATTTCCACGTTACGCGTTTGGTGTTTGGCAAAACAATAAAGAGGGGCTCCTTGAAAGTATCTCCTGACTGCGTCAATCGGAGAGGCGGGGAGGGGCTGTGTCGTAAAGAATATTATTATTGGGCGTGTGTTATATGTTCGGGGACACGGGGACACGCAGGATCGGAATGACGCCGCCGACGGACTTTTCTCGCCTCAGCTTCCTCCTCCTCCTACACATTTGGACATTTATTAACGACTCGAGCTTTATGTCGGGCCACCTTGGGCAGCAGCAGTGCGGGCAGCGCGGGCCGGGGCCGGACGCTTCCAGGAGACTGCGTCGATCTTCCAGGGTATATGCGGCCCGAGCGGGCGGGGACCACGGGGAAGCAGCCCCGGGGCCAAACAGGAACACAATCTGCAGATTTATTCCGAAATAAATCAAAATGGGGGGGCCCTACACCCCTCTCTCTCTCTCTCCGCTGACTTCCGCGCACCGGCCTCTGAGCAAGTTCACGAACGCACTTGGAAACGCATGACGCACGAACGCGTAGATGTGTGAATGTCCATTTCATACACTTGAGGCGTTTTAAAGATGTGAGAATCATTTTCCTTTGAAATTCATACACTTGTGCATCCGTGTGTGCGATAATGGCGTTCACACACCTACAAGAAGTGTGCGACATCCGCACACTCATACACTTGGGACTTGGGATTCTGGTGCGAGTTTGTTGGTGTGCTCAGCAGGGCTCGGAGGGTGCGTGACCAACGTTGATGACACGCTGGCAGGTCGGCACACAATTCGGCCGCGATGACTGTGACCGTTGACAGCGGCTATGGTGCCCTCGGCCCCCACAGGTCCTCCCAGCCATCGATCATTTCGAAACGAGTAAAGGTACTAAGCCATTACCCGGGGAAAGGGTTAGTAGTTTTGCGGAAAATACAATGGGGCGGAAAAAATCGTGTTTTTTTTTTTCGATTTATTTCGGAAAAATAGGAAAAATTTGGAAAACGATAGTTCTTGTACAGGAAAAAGCTTTGGAAAAGACTGGGGACATAAAATTTCTCTGATATACCCAGTTGAAAATGCTGCGTTGATGGTTTGAAGTATGCAGTACGCGAAAGCCCTACGAGACTAATTGTTGTTCTCCTTTCACTCAATCTGTGCATCTAATGGGCTCCTCCTAGCCGTAGACCCCTTCCCCCGTTTCGTCTCTTTTATACTCCTACAAATTGAATTTTAGGAAAACAGCGGAAAACGGTTAGTTTTTCTATATCTCTGGAACGGCAGGGCCTTTATCAATGATATTTGGCGTGTGGGGGGGGGGGGGTCTGCTTTATGAGCGGAGCCGAACAATATTCTTTGGGGGCCTAGACCGACCGAATTGACCCGAAAATCGTGACTATATACCTCAATATGGAACGCCTCTCCTTAATTGCCCTACATCATCGTGTCGCGATAATTATGCGGGACAGAGGACACAGAGCGGCCACACATACAGGGTGGTCCACAGACCCCTTCCTTTATTTTGCTTATACTGTACCGCATGCAGGCGTGCGGGCGGGCTTGCCTACTGTCGCTCACCATGGGCGCCTTATGGCCCCGTGCGAGTATGCAACCCGTCCGCACGCATGCATTCGGTACAGAATAAGCAAAATAAAGGAAGGGGTCTGTGGACCACCCTGTACATGGCTATAAAGCATTCCGGTACGAGCTGAAGAGAAGAAAGCAAAGGGAGCGAGGAAGAAGAACTCGGATGTCACCATGAGAGAAAAAACGTCCACTCTCCTCAGATTTATTATTCAACGACAAAAACTACGGGAGCTTGAGCTCGGCGCGCCTGCGAGCCTCGAGGTAGGCCACACCGCACTGCACGCATGCGCTGCAACCGAGATGTTGCCTACCTCCCAGGCGCCATGCGAGCTTGCTGCTGCTAAAACATGGCAGTTTCGAAGATTGCGTACGACGAAATCAATGTTTGATGACGCAATAAGATAGTTCCCCCCCCCTCCAAATTTACAAAGTTGTGACGACTATTTTTAATGGTGTATAAAACCAGAGAAGAGAGGACAGGCGCCGTTAGGCCAGCCTGCACTGATAAACTAAGAGTTCAACTGCTCAACACCTGTAAGTGTGCAACTGCTAGTTAAATACTTGCAAGTGTGCAACTGCAAGTTGAATACTTGCAAGTGCACAGCTCGGAAGTTGTACACTTGCAAGTGCACACCTACCGATTTAAACACTTGCAAATGTACGACTACGTAGTTGCACACTTGCAAGTAATCAACTTGCAGTTGCACACTTACAAGTGTTGAGCAGTTGAATACTTAGTTTATCAGTGTGGCCCCGCAGTGCAGCAGCTCGCACCCGCTCCCGTCGTCGGCGTCGTGCTGCACCGCGATTGACCCGTCATTCTGTGATTGGCGCGAGGCGCTTGCTCGCGGAGGCGGTGGCCGAGGCGGCGGCGCCCCGCGGCGTGGCCAGAGCCCTTATCTATCTACCTGACTAATACTTTGCGCCAACTTATCGATCTTTCTGGCCGTTATCAGTGGGGCACTCGTGCGTCGACGCCCCGGTGGTGGGCCACGCCGCGTCACATGAACGCCAGGACCTGAGCACTTCTTCGGCCCGACCAGAGGCGTCTGTGTGTGCACGGCAGCAGGGCCCGAAACATCCCCCCCGATCCCCGGTTTCTCTCCGGTTTTCGCTAGATTTTCGCGGTTCCTCGCCTAATAACCTCATCCCCCCTTCAAACAAACATGTCGGCCACCAACCCCGCCACCCCCGAGTACGGGCCCTTCTTCGGCGTCATGGGCGCCGCGTCGGCTGTGATTTTCAGCGGTGAGTACTGCAACCCGCCCTTTGGGTAGGGTGGGGTGGGGCGGGCGGCGAACCGTCACCTCACCCTCGACCGACAACGCGTTAAAGGTATTGAAAGTGACGCGCGGGCTCGTCGTCGTGACCACCGTGACGAGGACGCGTCGGTCGGGGGGTGACTGTCGGCCGCGGGTGGCATCACGTGACGCGTGACGGCCCACGTGACGGAGGGAGCACCTCCGCGTGCCCTTCCTGTCGGCGGGGTGAGGGGCCGCCTTTTCCACAAAAACGTTTTAACCAAATGTCCCGCTCGGCGAGCACCACCGCCCAGCAGCTGTGTCCGCTGGACGGGCAGGGCTCGGTACAGCCCCATGGCGTGACGGCCGTGACGGTTCTTTTGTGCGGCAGCTTACACCCACCCCCGCCGAGCAGCGGCTCGCCCTTCACCACCTGCTCAGCAGCAAGGGCGCGACGGGGCGCGAGGGAGCGCAGAGGGGCCGCGGCCGCGCGGGTGCGTCGCGCGGATCACATGACGGGGCCGCATCTTGTGACTGCGGGGCCCCGTCACATGAGTGGACGGCCCGCACAGCGCGATATCGAATCGGGATTCAAGGGCTGTATCAAAACATCAGCTATAGTATCTCGATTTCGAAATCATTTCAGGATCGGTTCGAAGCGAAAGTAGACAATTTTCTAAAACTGATATAGAGAGCAGGACATCGGTTTGACATCGCTGTCATAGTCCCTCCGGCAGACCTAAATCGAACCGGCTCCCTTTTTAGCAGGCGGAAGAAATAGAAGGTCGCGATGGGTCGTTTGTCACCGACATCCATCACTTAAAAAATCTGTACCCAGAAACAGAATTCATACAGATCGTCTTGTACTACCATACTACGGTCAAAATCTGTTCGACTGGTATATGAGGGATAAAGACTTGTCATTGCTTGAAAAGAACTTTCCTCCAGAATAAAGTACAGTGCAGACTACAGGATTACACTGTTTTAAAAATTACCAGTCCATTCTGCTGTTATTTACTGTTGTAAATTTTAACAGTGATCCATATACCGACGTCGATGCAACACATTTTCGACCTCAGACGAGGGGCGTGACCTATAGGCAGTATACTACACGGCGACGAGCCCGTGTCCTCTGTTATAATTGTACAGCTATTTGCCGCTTGCGTGCGAGGGATTAGGGGAGAAGCAGAAGCAGCCGGGCCATGTCATGTGCTTCCAAGGACGGTCGTCATCTCCCATTCCCGAGAATGAGTTTACGGGAGTTTGGGGGACGACGGGGGAAGGGAAGGGCTCGCAAGAGTCGGCAGCGTGTTTATAGCGTTTCATGTTCTTGTTGTTTTGTGTGGGCCATGGGCCATCCATACAACACGGACTGGGTTGTAAAAAAACAAAAAACAATTGCATAGTACAATGAAAAATGAACTTTTTATTTATCTATTTATTTGTGTGGTTCATCGACAGCCCTGGGCGCCGCCTACGGGACGGCCAAGTCCGGCACGGGTATCTCGGCCATGGCCATCATGAGGCCCGAGCTCATCATGAAGTGCATCATCCCCGTCGTCATGGCGGGTATCGTCGCCATCTACGGGTTGGTCGTGGCCATCCTCATAGCCAGCTCCCTCAAGTCGGCCTCGGACGGCTACACCCTGTACCTGTGAGTGATTAAGTATCTCCACCCGGCCCGGCGATCCTTTTAAAGTTCGACATTTTCCAGGAAAAAAATGATACATTTCTAAAAAAGAAAAACGGGAAAATTTAACTGTTTTCCTCTCGGGAAAAAATGCGAGATTCAGAAAAACACAATCCCTAAAAATACTTTTATGGAAAACTAAAATCCCAGTCTACGACTCCCTCAACGAAGTTCAAAACACACACAAAAAGATGGAAGACAGAAAGAAAGAACAATAAAACCAAAACGGCTTATCTACGAGTGAAGCGGAGCGGCACGTAGTGGTGGCAATCGGTCGGGGCTAGCGCCTAACCCAACTGTCTCCCGTCCCTGAGAGAGGGAGGGACGGGGACAGTCGAGTGAGGCGCTGACCACGCTCAGCACGCCGCTCTGGTGTCGGGTGTGTTGCCTACCCTCGCGACGGCAGGCGTTCACAGCGGACGGTGTATGTGTTTTCTCTCCTTCTCAGGGGCTTCATCCACATGGGCGCCGGGCTGTCCGTCGGCCTGGCCGGCCTGGCCGCGGGCTTCGCCATCGGCATCGTGGGTGACGCGGGCGTGCGGGGCACGGCGCAGCAGCCGCGCCTCTTCGTCGGCATGATCCTGATCCTCATCTTCTCCGAGGTCCTGGGTCTCTACGGCCTCATCATCGCCGTCTTCATGTACGCCAGCAACTCCACGTAGACGCCGAGCCGAGGACGACCAGAAGACGGCATCGGGCCGTCCACTCACCCCCCACGCCCCCGCCAAAGAATCAAAAAAATAGTTTTTTCTCGAATCTTGTCATGTTGTCGTCTTGCGTGACCGGTACCGAGAACCCTTATTTTTCCCCTTCGATTTCAAGCCCCTAACGCGCGCTCAAGACGTCGTTTGTAAGATAATAATAGTAATAATAATAATTTAAGACTGTAACTGGGTCCGGCCCTGAAATCACCCCAGGCCGAGGCAAGGACCGTAAAGCCCGTTTTGTTGATTAAAGTTTTCTCCGTGCGATGTGAAGGGAAATTTGTATGAGTATCATCATGCGGCCTATGACTTTGAGAATCAATCACAACTTGCTGGGTTTCAAAGTTTTAAAGTTAAAAGCTGTACTAAAATCTGACTGGGCAGGTAATAGTTTACCCGGGAGTGCCTACAGTGTTTCTTAAGGTGAATATTTAGACTATGTAAATATTCACTTTAAACAACACTGTAGGCACTCGCGGGTAAAAAAAACGCGAGTGAGAGCGAAAGTTTCATCGTGTTCCATAACTGCACATTCCTGTACATAACGGTTACATTGATAATAAAGTAATTAGACTCAGAACCACGAGGAAACCGTTGAAGAACCCACTATCACAGTGCGAAACGTGCAGGTCGGAGGATGAAATAACAATACGTCCTGAAAAATAACTGACCTACGTCAAGTCTTATTCGAAAATATTCCAAAAATTTGGAATCCACCACGTCCTTACTCAGTCTAGTCAAAAAAATAATACTTCATACATTTTACATAAATTATATGATTCCTACACACAGTGTTTAGTACCATTTTCATTACTTCATTACTCTAGGCACTATGGAAAAAATTGTACATGCAAAAAAAAAACAAAACGAAAAGTGCGCAAAGAGTTGAATTTGTGCGAAAACGCGTAAGTACACTCTCGTTTTGTCCACCACCACCGTCGACAAAATGCGCAGAGGGAAGAGTGGGCATCTCAGTCAAGCAATCTCTCGGCAGCCTTATGGCGCGCTGATTGCGTCCTGGCCGCAGCCCAGAGGTACGCGTGGCGTTGACGGCGTCCTGGTGGGCCCCCCTCACGAGGACGAGGACGAGGAGGACATCCAGCGCCGTCCGCCGTCCGCGTCCAGGTCGGCGCCGACGGCGCTGTTGAGGGCGATGCCCGCGCCGCCCAGCTGCGCCAGCGCGCCCGCCGCGCCGCCCCCGGCCTCCGTCGGGTGCTTGTCGGACATCGGCGAGAAGCGCTGCGCCGTGTTGAGCTTCTCCCACACCTGCGGGATAAAGAGTCCATTTACAGGTGAACATTTCGAATTGTCAAGGCAGAATAATACTCGGAACAACAGAAGATGATTTTAAGAAATGAGTGAACTTTTTTCTATTTTTAATTTAATTTTTGTCTTTATTATTAATTTTTTTCACCGTTAATCACCTCATCGAGCAGTAGTAGTCCATTTTTCCAAAAGTGAGCCGATCTCTAACGTATTTCGATGCGCAGCTCATACCTGCGGGCTGGTCGGGTCAACGATGCGCACGTAGCCGTGGCGGCCGGTGTAGAACCACGCCCGGCCGTCGCGGTCCAGGAAGCTGGGCGGCATGTAGAAGGGCTCCGGGAGGCGGGCGAGCCAGTCGCGGCGGGACAGCGGCCGGCCGCACTGCAAGGGACGCCCGTCCATGCCGGCGTGGCTGTTGCGGCACAGGCGGCCGAATCTGCACACGTTGTCGCCCCAGATGAACCAGCAGGGCGGGGGCTTGTAGTCGCGCACCAGGCGGCGCCGCTCGGCCGGCGTCAGCGGCGTCGGGTGCGTGAGGAAGCGCGTCGGGTGCACGGGCGCGCGGCACATCGGGCACGGCACCATCTCGGCCTCGGCCTCCTCCTGGAGCAGGCGAAAGTCACAAGAAAAATGAGAGAAAAAAAATTAGAAAAAAAAACAGGAGGAGAACAGAAAAATAAGAAAAAATAAGAAATAAATCGGAAGTAAATCATCAAAAGTCAGAAAAAAAAAAATCAGCATTTTATTTTTAAAAAATCGAGAAAACACAGAAAAATCGGTACGCTCGTAGTTATGGTGAGGTAACCCCTTGACGGAAGGTTGGTGGCTGACCTCGCCGTAGTATGGAGATCGTTCAGAACGTACACGTCTGTTTTTCTCAGATTCAAATAACAGACGCTCGCTCGGGCGCCTGCGAGACTCGGGGTAGGCCACCCTGTAGAGCACGCGTGCACTGCAGGCGAGATGTTGCATACGCACCAGGCGCTTTGAGGGCTCTACAGAGGGGCGCTGAACTTTTGGCACAGGTTCGCGAGGACACAAATGGCGGGGGACGTGAACTTTTTGGATGATCTCATGCCCCATGCCCTGCCTAGAGAAAAATGAGAGTGGAAACGGAGGAAAGGGAGATAGACATATCAGAGACCTGGGATCCAAATTTTTTTCGGAAAATTGGAAACTGGACAAGCGTCCAGAAAAAAAAAATCGGAAAAATTGAAATGTTTCTAGAAGACTTCGTAAAAATTGACAACAAAATTTCCTTCACAATGTCCCAGAAATATTTTCCTGGAAAGTTAACAATCTTACAGGGATCACGACTGGGGATAATAGGGACCCCATCATACTCTTCACCCGAGGTACAAATGAGATCCCGACATCCAATTGCATCGGCCAGCACGGACGTGAGGGTCCCCGCCGTCCAACTAAGGCAATAATAACGACGGTTAATAGCTGAACGCCAAAATTACACGCACACACACACACACTGCTGAAAGTGCCGTCGTATAAGTACCTGATCGCCGCTGGGGGCCTGCGTGTGGATGGCCTGGTTGAGGCGGTAGTCGGCGGCCTTGCGCGCGCACCAGACGCACCACACCATGGCGCACGAGCAGTCGCCCACGAAGGTGGCGTAGATGTGGCGCGGCCGGCAAGTGGCGCTGAGGTGGCGCGCGGGGATGCGCTTCTCGGGCAGCTCCAGGCACACGGAGCACTCCATGCAGAGCCTGGAATATATTGCGGCATAATACTTCATGGAATACTTTTTGCAATGTCTGGAATACCATTTGGAATTTCTGGAAAATTTTCGGTAGAATATCTGGAGTATTTTTGGAATATTTTAAAGTGTGTACATGGTTTAAACAAGTGGTCCACCACTCGGAAATTGTTATCATCTGAAAGCAAAAACGAAAACAACAACAACGAAACTCGTCAAAATGATGGGTATGCCCAATACTATGACGTTTGCGAGACGAAATCTCTGTTGCTCGGGGAGGTCAGCCGAAGGGTGGGGGGTGGGGGTGGTGGGCGTCCCCGCTCGCGCCAAAAAGATCCCCCGCCTCCGCGGCCATGGCGAGGTGGCCGCGGAGTCAGGGCCCGCGTGTCCTACGACGGGCACCTCCTCGACGCCACACTGGCCACGAGCGTGCCGCCGGACGACGACGACGGCGGCGACGGTCTCGACGACCCTGGACTTGGCAAAAACTAACCTCGCTACGCCTCGCCGTCGCTCTAGTTGGTCCGAGGCCCCGGAGGGGACAGCAGTACGTTCCACGCCAGTGCCGTGGCCGCGGAGGGAAGCCCCGGCTCTGCGTCGAAAGGAGTCGCCTCCCGCGAAGATTTGCGCACCAGGGATCCGCTTCGCAGACGTCCCGACCCGTTGCCTCGACGATGTTTTGGCGTGAAGGGCGGTGGTAGAGACGCTGCGAAGACGCCCGCCCGGGCCTCGCGCTGTTTGGGGGGCCGCCACACAGACACCAGCTGGATCGATCCCGTCAGTCCCCCCCCCCCTCCTTTTACCACAGGCGCCCTCTGGTGGGGCAGCGCGGCATGCCAGCGCCAGGACGTGACGCGAGAGGGAACTCCACGGACGATCATGACCCTGCCCCTGCCCGAGTCGAAAAAAAAAAAAAAACATTTTTGTGGGCCGCAAGGAAGGTTTAGAAATAACGTAATCACGACCCTATACCTAGATCTGATCCCAGCTTTAACTTTCGGTAAGGAGAGACAAGCACGTGCTAGGCGAGCACGCACTATAGAAGTGTGTAAGGCCGACAGGTCGAACGAATCTGAGAAAACCAGACGTTCTTTCTTAATGATCCTCATATGGTCAGCAAACTCCCGCCCGCCGAATAATACATGCAAATTTTCTTGTTTTCTTGACTTGTTTCTGATTTTTCTTAAATATACCTCTGTTCTTTCTCCAGATCAGAACTCATCAACATCTTGGTCCTCAATCATGAAAAAGTTTGCATCATCTGCTTCTGTTTGCAGATGAGTTTTACTTTTGTTGGGGGGTGAGATTTAAGTCTTTCGTGCTTTGTCATGTAAGTGGGTTCGCCAAGGAGGTAGAACATATGATGGTTCAGTTGATGCAACATAATTTTATTCCCTTCTTGCTACGTCGTAGGACTAATAAAAGAGCGTAGGAGTGACCACACTGCAACTCAGTCGGTACAAACCCCTCCGTTGTGACGGTCCCCAGCTAGGAGAGTGCCATCACGCAATAATAAAAATTACCAAGGTAATAAATCAAAACTCTATAAATTGGGTGTACACAATACAGACCAGTTAACAGACTGCAAATAAACAGTGAGGAAAACGGCTAAACATTTCTCTAAGTAATCCTTTCACAAAAAAATTTCAAAATCAAGAATAATATATAGACAATATATAAATAATTCCACCCTAAACATGTATTGGACAGAAGGGAAATAGTTGTTTTGGCACATGTCCAACTATCTAGTTTAAGAAATGAAAGAAAACAAGGGTACACACTTCAATCATCTTACATGGCCGAAAATACACATGCTAGAATGTATTTAGAAAACACGTAACACAACTTTTTACAAGTTCTATCATTTGACTGAATTTAACAGGGAAGGGGGAGGGGGGATTAAAATTTAAATGGGTGAAAAAAAAGAGTACAAACTCTATTCAATATATAAATGCAAGATCACGTATCATATGACAACCTTAAATGGCTGGGGGCACAATGCCAAGAAAGATTTCTCTGTAAGGACTTTAAGTCATTTCAGGTATATATTTCATTACAAAATTTCTGCCACTGACATGTTTACATGAATTCTCTCTTTGCTCTGTGTCCCTTGACAACTAACTAAAGGCATTTATATCAACACAAGGTACAAATCAGATTAAAACAATGTAAGCGTCATTCTTTTAACAGACACAATACTGTGTATATCTGTCATGGAGCAGCAAAAAAACAAGTTCAATTTTTTAACTTCTTTGAGAGAAGCCAACTTTACCTTTAGAGAATAAAAATCCCATGACTAGGTCACTTACTTGATACATGACATGAGCTAATTTACAAAAACAACTGACAATATCCTAGTATGTACATTTATTTAATTTAGAATTGAGAGAACAATGCATGAATCATCTTTCATTTCCTTGGTCAGTAATAAATTCATTTAAGCAATACATCTAAAATAATAAAACTATGTCCAGTTTCATTGATTGATTATATATACTTTCATCTGAGAGATGGACAGGTATATTGAAATAAAAGAGTGCATAGTGTTGAGTTGTTAGTATTCACTCAACTGCAATAATGTTAACATATGAAAAAATTGATTGTAAGGTAAACAAATTTTGCTACTACAAATATAGTTTGTTTAGGCAACCACTAACAACATCTCTTTAGAGAGAGAAGCATTATCACCTCACGAACTATCACCCTGCTCACTGAAAGTTGAAGAAGTGTCTTGTCTATCAAGGTCTGTCCTATTTGTAACACACGAAATAATTTCCACAAGGCATCGTCCGAATTCTTCAATTATTAATTTCTCCGCCTCTTCGTCATTTAAATCCAGTTTTTCTGCTTCCTCAGCTTGAGCAACCAAACACTGACATGTAGCACTAACAACGTTGTCAGACATGATGCAATCTGAACGTCTAAGCATAAAAAAGAAACAAAGATTAAAGAAAGGAAGTCATTTAAGTTCTGACATATTTTAACCAATAATAATACAACTTACCTATCTCCTTTTCTGTGACCATCTTCTTGTTTAATAGAAGAAGTATCTAAAATTTGACCAATAGATTTCTTTTTTAACCCAGACGGCATTAATATTGGACTTTCAAGACTCTCTGACACTTCTATTAACTCCCTTAAACTGCGCCGATCTATGTCATCTTCTATATTTCTACAACCCACACATTTGCAATTATTTGAGCAAGCTATCTTCGCCTGAAAAAGAAAAGACATTATGTCAAACAACTAGGTAATACAAAACTATCTGGGATTTGAAATTGGCAACAAAATAGTACAGCTTGATTTTGAATAAATACAGATATTCTGCTACTGGAAGAATTGTTACCTCATAACATTCACAATAATTTTTAAGGCAGCCAGATCGTTTACAGTTGCAGCCTTTGTTGTGCCGCCTGCCATCTCCAACGATACCTTTGCCAATTTTTGGTCTAAAAGCATTAGGATTACGTTCCAGGCATGAACGAATTGCTCGTTGTCTGTCTTCTTCATGATCTAAATTATTGTAACAGCAGTTACAATTACACTGATTGCAAAATTCACCATTTGCAAAGCAATCACAGTAGCTGCAACACAGAATGATTAGTACACAGATAGAATAAAATACATTTCGTTTAAAGTGATAAAGGAAACCAATACATAATTTAAACAGTTTACGTACAGCTTGAGACATTGTGACTTTGTGCAGTTGCAAGGTTTGCGAGGCTTGATTCCATTAGGCTCTGGTAGTGAAGCCTTGCTCTGCTTGGGTGGTGGAGGTGCAGGTGCATGCTCCGGTTTTACAAGATGTGGTAGAGGATCAACGTCATCTACACTGGCTTCTTCAGCAAGGGACATTATTATTGGCTTAATGTCCATATCTGGTTGGGCAATCTGGAAATAAACACATACTTTAATAAACTATCCAAAGCCATGCATTATTATTTATCAAGATGAAAAAAAATTAGAACATTAACAAACCGATTTAGCTGTTTGAATGGATGTTGAAGGTAACATAACAATGTTTGTGGAAGAAGTGGTGCTGGTGGCGGTTGAGTTAACAACAGACATCACACTGCTGGGTATTGATGTTTTAATTTGTGTCATAGCTAGGGAAGCTGGTATGATTATTTTCTGCCCAGACATGGTTTTGGCCAGAACCTGCAATTCAGATGTTCAAATAAATAATTGATTGCTAACAAAATGAACAAGAAACAAGGAAGAAACTCAATTTTTAATATCTGAAATAAATAAAACTCACAGTTTTGGGGGTTGATGTACCCATAGGGATCATTTTTATGGTGTTCCCATGTTGACTACCTGAGGCTGAGGACAATGTCAAAACTGTGCTTGCCTTTCCCACTGCTGTATTTGTGACAGTGGTTGTAGAGTCCGATGATGAAGGTATACTGACTAGGCGAACATATTGCATCTGGAAAGCAAGAGGGATATTGGATTAGAAATAAAGACAATTAAATGAATATGTGAGAAGCTGATTTTTTCTCAGTACCTGTCTTCCAGCAACTTGAACAGGTTGTAAGGTAGATGAGTTCACCAGCCCTGGTTGGCTGGAGACTGGTATTCTCAACCCGGGGACTGCCTGACCAGTCATTGGTTTAATGGAGGCCTAAAAAAAACCCAGATAATTAGTGAAATTAAGTACGATGTTATAAAATAGAAAGTAACAACGATAAGAGGGACCGCAACTAACATGTCTTATGATAACTTTCTGCGGACTGACGGACGGTCCTCCCTGCTGAGATGCGGAGCTCGTCACTATACTCATTGGTGCAGGTAATATTTTGGCAGGGGATTTGGCTCCTTGTGGCACAACAGTGACCCTTGTTCCAGTTCCTGGTAGTACTTTATTCACAATCAACCCCTAAAAAACACACAGTCAACATTATTACACATTGCGAAAAAAGAGGAAAAGACTGATGTTCGACTGTCCTAAAACAATAAAAGTTTTAAAATGTTGATATTCTATTTGCTGGAAGCATTCTGTAAATTTTTCTTTAAGTTTTGCAGTTCAATTTAGAATTTAGAGGTTGCAAATGTAAAAAAAAAATTGTTTAATCTCGCCAGCTATTCTTACAAAATGTAAGATTCTGTCTAGTTGAATGCAAGAAAACAAAGTTAACCACACAGTCAAGAACTTCTTTCTTTAATCGTCGTTATATCCAATTTCTGTTCTTTCAGTCAAAGCTGGATAATTTATGAACCTGTGAGACAGGTCTGTACATCAAAAAATTAAATAATTCAATATCTGTCAGTTTGTAGAAACACTAGACAACATATAAAATATGATTTCCCACTTTTGCAACCGTTAAATTGTTCTCCAGAAGTAAGAAAAAATTGCAGAAGGTTTTAGGCAATTAGAAGCATATTTCTGAGATGACCCGTCAATATTTTAAAACTTTTATTTTATTGGCACAGTTGAACTAATGCATTGGTAATATTTTCTCACCTTGCCACCTGGTGATGCTGGGATGATCTGTTGTACTTTTGCAACTGATCCACTGTTTGGAGTAAGAACCCCAAGAGGGCGAGACTGGATAACTTTGATCGGTCTTCCAAGAGGACTACTTGACGCCACACTTGAGGTTTGGATCACAGTAGCTTTTTCAGTCTCGCTTTTAGACAGTCTTGAATCAGAGGTCGAACTGGGGATTGTTGCTATCTTCATTCCCCCACTTAAAACACGAACTTGCTGTCCTCCTATCATGAACCTCTGCTGATCCACACTTTTACCATCTTGAATAGGCAAGGTCACAACTTGCTGACCACTACCAGTGCGAGGTAAAAGGACTTTGGTTATAATTTGCTGCAACATCAAAATAAAGTTTAAAAAAATAAATTTGAATTTGCTAACTGATAGGCAACAAAATTATTATACGGGGTAAAAAAAAAATCACTCACTCCTCTTTGGTTTGCTGCCTGAGGATTCAGAGGGCGTATTCCAGTTACATTCAAATTGGCTCCTCGGGTAACCAATGGAGGGGGACCAGACGTTGGTATAGTTCTCACTACTGTTTGATATTGAGGACTCGGAACTCCGGAGTTTACCCTGCCAATAATTTGGGGAATCTGTGCGCCTTTCTTCCCAGCTGCAGCAGTGTTGGTAGTGATAACTCTGTTTCCGGGTGAAGATTGGATAACCACGTAAGAAGTAGATGCTGCTGACTGGCCCGCAACACTCATCAGAACAGGTGTGCGACTAATAATGTTGCAGTTTGATACAACTACTGCAGATGGGGTTGGAGATTCCTCATTGTCATCATGAGTGATAGTAGATTCAACAATGTCACTTGATGTCACCAACTCCTCCCCATCCACCTCCATAGACTCATCATTAGGTATGGTGACGCAAACAGCTTCTTCAAGACCCGGAGATATATCAGATTGATTTAGAAGGTCACCATCAATGGTAAGAAGTTGCTGACCAGATAGAGCTGACAATGCAGTCAATTCTCCATCAGTCACTGCAATAGTTTCCACCATGGCTCGGGAGCCACTGCGGGCTTTGTTGCCTGAAAATGAAACAAAAGAAATAATATTTACAACTGGATTTCAAATTCTAGGCTTAACTTAGATCAGGCCAAGACCAAGAGGTATGTCAAAGAAATAACAATAGCAAAATAAATATTAGAGGGTAGGTGTCATGAGTTTGGGAAGAGCAGAATGACGAATTCAAGGAATGGTGAAAGAGGACATGTCTGTATGCACAGAAGACAACATTGTTTCATACATTTAATGTAATGTGAAACCCCCAACAGAGGAACTATCACAAAAACTCAACATAACTGAACTATAAGTACAGATGCACAAACAAGCTGTGGGGATAACCAAGAAAGGAATGTTTTGAGAATCCAGCAACTGACATTGTAGCATTAAGATTTTGAGATGTTGTTTAACGACAAATTGTGCATACTAAAGCAAAACGTAAGAAAACTAACGACTAAACAAATCGTATGAGCAGAGATCACTGTTTACAAACATAGGTTAGGTATACAAAGCTTAACCTCTAGGTGTACTTAAAGACACAACTGCAGATACTAACCTTTGGCGAGCATTTTCGTCCACTATAAACAGAATTGTAGAAATCGAAGATATGCCATTCAAACAGCAACACGAACACAAATACTATCAAAACCACATCTTTGAGGGAGTTTCTAAAGACGGGCGCGCCATTCTCTAAAGGAGGTTTGAGCTCAAATGACGCGCCATTTTCTGCCACCAAGGCACGGAAATTTGAAAATGTGGGTTGAGCACAATGCGATTAACATGCTAAATATCAAGGAAAGAGGTGAAAATGGAACCACCGCATCGATATTTCACCGAATAACGAGAACTAGAACCTGACTAACACCAGATTCCAAGGGAAAGTGGGGTTAAATTCTCTTCGTAATAGGACAGTCTAAAATCTTCGCGAGGAAATGAACAGCTACATTCAAGCGGTGACCAAACTATTTTCCCGTGTCCCACACCACAGGGAAAATGAGGGTAAACACGCGAATTCAGCAGGCGACACGGCACAATAGGTGAAAATGAAAGATTTTCTCCAGCTCATCAAATGTGTACACAATGGTTCAAAATCACGCGCCCTCCATTGCCATCCCACAATGCAACGCGGAGGCACGAAATGACGTCGCGCCCAAAGAGCGCCACAACCAAAATTTTAATCACGTCTGCCGCAATTTAAAACTGGAGTAAAAATTAAAGAAATTTGGAGCGAATCGGTGCTGAGTAGAAAAGACGAGAATTTTGATGAAAGTTTCTGTTTATTCTATAGTAAAAACTGGTTTTAAGACAGCTTTTCATGTTAAGATCTATTTTCTCTAGCGGACGCCGAAATGACGCGTAGGTTTGTTAACGAGCTGAAGTGCCGCCAAAAATGCGCTTACATAAAATGTGTAAAATATCTCAACTTCTATGCAAATTTGGTGCTTTGACATGAGTCAGAAATGAGAAAGTATTTTGACGGAAAATATGAAATGGATACAGTTAGAACTGTAGAGTCAATAATGGGGAAGTTTGCAACCTCCGGCCCCGATCTCGGATGCAAGTCACCACCATATTTTGAGCGGAAGAAGAGGGGAGGAGGGGAGGGGAAGAGGTGAGGAGGGGGCAGTTTGGGAAAAACGAAAAGCAAAACAAAAAACAAAACAAAAACCAAACATTGCTTTACGGCCCTAAGATTTTACAGTATTGGGTTGATTGGGTTAGAATAGTTGCATTGAACCTCATTTATTCGCTAAATACGAAGGTGAAGTTATGTCGACTTCCAGAAACGAACCGGATCAATGTAATCTCAGGAAATACGACTTTCCATTAGATGACATACCAAGATTAAACTGCATGGATCCACAAGTAGATGAGCTCATAAAGAGTAAGGTTAGTATTTGTTTGTTAAGTGGTTCCGATAAATTTTATCCGTGAATTTTTTTGATGATAGCAACTTTTATAAAAGTTTAATAAGATTAATTAATCTTTGCTATATTGCCTCATACACTAGTTAATAATACTGATTTCTGTTTTAGAGATCCTGCTTGTTTCTTAACATTATTTTATCAATAGGTTTTAAACTAATCATGCTCTCTTTTTTTTTTCCCTCGCCCTCTTCTCTTTGTTTTACAGAAGCCTGTAGTATTGACAGGGTCCAATCTTGTCGGTGCAGCTTCAAAATGGGACTTGGATTATTTGGAGAAAAACATGGGCAATGGAGATTTTACAATATTTGTCAGCAAAGGAAATCAATTCAAGTTTTTTGACGAAAAGAAGCTTGCTGAAATTGATTCAGTCTCCGGGGCTCACACAAAAAATAGACCACAAAAAGAGTATATTAGACCAGCTAAGAGTTGTCCCATCAAAATACAAGACTTTGCCAAAAGAGTAAGAGAATGGAAAGATGGAGATGAAAGGTAGGCTCCTTCCATGAACATTATAGGTAAACGATTTTTAGATATAAATTAAACAGATTACGTGTTACCTCAGACTATACCTTCAGCAAGCCTTAAGTAGCACTTCTGGAGCCGGAGTTGTGCAAGACTTCATACGGTTCAGATGGGACTGGGTGACAGCGAAACAAAAGTTACACAATTGGGGAAAATTGACGTACAATTTACTACTAGTTGGCTTAGAAGGTAAGTTCATCTTCATAATTAATTTATTTTATACTTAGAGCAGTTGAATAAAGTATTTGCAAGTTTTATCCTGCTTATTCTGCTCACTAGGTAATGTAACACCATGTCACTATGATGAACAGGAGAATCTTTTTGCCCAAATACATGGCCACAAAAGGTGTATACTTTTCCCTCCAGAACAATTTGGGTGCCTTTACCCTCATCCTGTGTGGCATCCACATGATAGGCAAAGTCAGGTATTTGTACCTTCTTTACACCATTAGCCATCTTTAAAAAAATAAAGTAGAAATAATTCCATTTTCCTGATTGTTTCCTTCAAATAATTTAGGTTGACTTAGATAATCCAGACTATGACAGATTTCCTAAAATGAGAGATTTACATGGTGTGCAAGCAGTTGTCGGACCCGGGGATGTTTTATACATTCCTATATACTGGTGGCATCACATTGAGTCAGTCAAACCTGAAAAGTATACTGTCTCTCTCAATTTTTGGTACAAGGTAATTCATGCAGTTTCTTTCTTTTTTTTTTTTTGAGACCTAACTATAGCTAGATTATATAACTCTCTGCATTTTCCCTTTTAAATAAGTGAGATAATTACTTTGCTGTCTTTCAGGCAGGACCAGTTGGGCAAGTAGAATATCCTATCAAGGGATATCAGAAAGTCGCAATTATGCGAAATGTTGAAAAAATGCTGGCAGAAGCTATGCAAGACCCGGAAGAAGTTGGTGCACTTTTAAGGACTATGGTGCAAGGTCGTTTTTGAGAAGTCCCTGACTAATTTTTGTTCCCATACTTGAAGGCTTGTTTACTGAAGACTGACTTTTGTATGCCATGTCTTGTTGTTTTACCACACCCTATGAACTTGGCCATTTGTGTTGTTTATGTGTTTCATTTCAATTTGCATAATCTGTACTTAATTTTTAGACTATTTATTGTGTCTGCTTTGCAGTTTCCTAATATGTTAAGAGCTGTTGTTGCATGGTCTGTGATAATCCAATCAATATTATATGTTTTAAACCTATGAATGATTTGTTTTATAATGTGCTTTAGGGTTGGTGTCCTTAAGTTTTTAAAAGTTTTTAAAGGTAAAAACTACACTAGATTTTAAAAAAATCATTTTACTCTGTTTCAATGAAAGTGTTTTATGAAATTGACTTGTCTAATATGTGATAAAGTCTCAAATAAATGTTTTAGCAAGCTGTTCCTTTAAAAAGAAAAAAGAAAAAGATTTCTCAAAATCATAAAATGTTGAAGTACATCCTGCACTAGGTTGAACTGAATCAATACCACTTCAACTTGGTAAGTCCGAGAGTGATTGGGCCAGCGTTACCCTGCAAGGCATAGCCACCATGTACCCACGTGGTACTCAACGTGTTTTCATTTTTTTGAGATTAATAAATGCATGTCAAATATTGGGGTAGGTCCTGGAGGGTCCCCTGTCTAGAGGGTCCCCCTGAATTTTTTACTATTTTTTTAACATTAAAATATTAATAAAATATTAAAATTTTGTTTACAACTAGTTTTAAAGGTCAGAGTGGCCTAGGAATTTTTCATATTGGTTCCTAATGTGCTGTAGGGCTCTTGCTCTTAGAAGAAGTGTTTCTTTGCTAGTTGCGATCTGTATAGTTTACATCAGGCTATTAGAATTACATGTTAGTGTTTTCTATTCAGTAGACCGTTTTCTGAAGTGTGGAAATGTCGTCGACTTTCAAGTGGGTAAGACATCAAAATGTCAAACAAAAATGTTAATGCGTTCCCTTTGGATACAGCAAGCGCAGTGTCCAGATGTTCATTGCAAGGTGAATCACTTTTAGTACACAGTCTTTTGAATGTGTGTTGCGTTGCACTGTGTGCTTCTGAAAGAACAACTACTACCCCGCACTTGATGAACCTAAAAGCAGCGCAGTAGCATTTTCATACTTTCGGATATGTTAAGCACTTGTAAGTTTGCGACATTTCAACACTTCCAAACAAGTCCTACTGCATAGAGAACTTAGCGACTAATTCTCCTAGCCAAATGTCTACTAGACAGACCGCAACTAACATTTAACACTCATGTTGAGAGCAAGAGCGCAAGAAACAGAACATTAGGAAGCAGGATGGAAAATTTCTAGACACCTCAGGCCTCGCAAAATAGTTTTAAACAATATTTTAATATTTAATTAGTATTTAAACATTAAAAACTAATTTTATAATTAAAATAATAAAAAATAATAAAATATTCAGGGGGGACCCTCTAGACAGGGGACCCTCCAGATGTTTCCCAAATATTGGTAATGTTAGCTTCTGTTGAACCAAAACATTTAATTTCATTGCATTATGAAAGTCCAATGTCTCTCTGATGCTTATGAATAAGCTTTTCACATTACTTGACATCATATGTTGGCTGGTATGTCCATTAGAATTTTGGGGTACTCTGGTCAAGAACACTGAAAAAAAATGCAGTATTGTCTTGCATTGAGCTAGAAACTCATTGAGTTTGGTGCTATGTGTGTTTTGTTTTCAAAAAATAAATTGCATAACAAAGTAGAGATATATTTTTAGTTTGAGCTGCTTTATTCAGGTACTCACACCTAAAATTTGCATGAAGCATTCTGATGACATGTGCCCATTAAACTTGAAATATAAAACTAAAATAAACAATCACAATTATACTACACATTGTCATTTGTAAATATTCAAGATGATCCCCAACTGGGGAAACTGCTGCAACATGACTACTGTACTTCAACATCATTTAATAAATATCCAATACTTTTGCAATAGCAAATACTCCATCACAAGAAAAACAATAGCATCAGTTTAATGCCAAAGTATTAAAAACAACAGCTAACTTGAAGAATTGAAAACAAAAATTGATGCCTTGTATTAGTAGAAAAAAGTAAAAATTACAATCCTTTAAAAAGTTCATGGGTAGATAAGGCATTGCAAAATAAATAGTGTTTAAAAAGATTTACTACAGTAGTTCAGTGCAGCCAGACACCAACAACAAAATATAGAAGTGGAAAAAAGTGTAAGGTTCTTAAAAGTTCTTAAATCAGACTTTAAATAAAAAGAATATCAGAAATTTGATACAATTAATTAACATGACTCACAAATTTCTCATAAAGTAACCAGGTTTTGAAAATCAAGAGTTAAAATAGAAATCACATAAGGAAACCAGAAGCTTGAAATGTGGCCCACTAAAAAGGTGTCCAACATTCATGAACAAAATTTGTAATGCATTTGTAGATGGGACAACACAGTTATTCTTGACCAGATAACTCGTTTCAAGCTCGCAAAGTTTGCAGAAGAACACTTCTCTGTACCCTAAAGTACTGGCAATTACATCATTCACTCTTAGTATCACACATTTTTTTCAGCATATTGAGAGTAATCAATTGTTTGGCAGAGCAAAGAGATTCATCTTTAGTTGATTATTTAAGGTATGGAATTGGCCCATACAAATCCCAAATCAATTAAAGCATTAACTAGAATCCTACTTTAGATCTAAGACAACAATGTACACATCCCTTCTAAAATCATACTTTAAATATACATTACCCTTATTTGGTCTAGCAAACTTGAAAATATTACATCACAGCACTCATGTTCCATCAGACGCAAGACTTTAACCTTGTGCAGGAAATTCTGTTAGAGTATTCCATATCACTAACAAAATATATGTTGCCTCTTAGGCGTGGCTTTCGATTCATAAAGATCGAAGCCAGGAGAAGCAAGTACACTCGCAGTAAGGCACCGTATGTTTAAGACAGTAACAAAATGTAACAATCACATTTCTAAAATTATAACGGATAGGGCAGCCAAGCAATATGCTTCAGGTGAAAGAGTAGCAAAAAGTAGAACTTGTCGTTTCCTCCAATGTTTAAAGTAATAATGCTGTCAATGACCAGCAGGGAAAACTTTAACCTATTTTCATTTAGCATACAAAGGTATGGACAGACCACAAAGCAAGGCTCACAAACACTAAAATACAAAACAGGAATATATTTCCAGTCCCTTTTAAAGTAGAAAAAGAACTTGTTTTGTGCAAGTTGAATTTGGAAGACAAACAGAAGTACAATAAGTTACAAACCGTAATACCTACAGCACTCATTAAGATTTTAAGTTTATTATGAGCTCAAACATAAGCAATAGCAGGCAGTCAAAGCTTAGCAGTCTTTGATGTTTTAATTTAACATTGTAAGTAAAGATAAACATGGGTTCTAAGACAAAAACCCATTGAAAGATTTCATTATTTTTTTAACAACTTACAACTTCAATGCAACCCATGTTGAAACAAAGCAATTAGTAGATATTTTCAACACATTAAGGACTTTGGACGGAAACTGAAATATAATCAGATGAAAGCAGAGACTACATTTTTGAATATATGATGCATCTGCATTTGGTAAACAAATCAAAACAAAAGATTAAGTGAAGGATTAGGCAAACGACAGGCCATTTTGCTGTTGAGATTGATGAAAATAGGAATATATCATTAAACATCCAGTTCATTGATGTTGACTTTGCAAAATAATAATAAAAAAAAAAATTGCTCTACACTTCAAGTTTTTGACTCATTCAACCAAAAGTACAAAATCAGAGGAATTGTCACTTTTTAAGTGTTAATTCATTGAAACAAACCCTACACTACAAGGTCCAGGTACAAGAACTGTGGAATATTTTTTTTTGCTTTATGCAGTTCAAAAACTAACCACTTGCACTTTGTATTACACAAACAAGCTGCAAAGATGGTGCATGTTGCAAAGTATTGCTAACTGTTTCTGTTTGGGGGTTTGTGCAGAAACCTGCGAGGCCAAGGCAAAGGCCATTCATGCTGTCTAGGAACTTTGACACCAACATTTCCTTCGAAGTACCTAAATATGGGGAACCACCACGCACGAGCTAAATAGTTGTGTGGACCAGGTTTCTGAAAGGATAAGAAAACAATTAGATTAAAAAGTAAGGATTCATTAACAAACACTAACAGCTCAAAGGAAAGAGAATAACCTTTAACGAGGCATTATTAGCAAGAGTATGGTAAATCCAGAATGTCCTAGTTGTCGCAAAATATGCGATCACTACATCTATGGTGTAGTGTCCTCTGGACAGCAACACCATGAAGACCGCAGTAGTAGAGGCAATGAAAGACGTCCAAGAAAGAAGTTGGAACAGCCTTTTTGGTGAGTCTGGAGAATCTATAGCAAAAAAATAAAAAACAATTAGTGACAACATTTTTGCAAAAATATTAAGTAGAGAAAATATAACTTACATTCGTTGATAAGAAGATAGCAAAGGGTAAGTACTACTGTATGACCACTGAAAATAAAATCTCCACAATATGTATGTTTCCCATTGATTGACAGGCCAAATCCAGACATGAGCTGCCAAACTCTTTTTGTTAACAACCATGGTGTTGTCACATTGGCTTTTGGTGAACAATAATATGTTGTGCTAGACATTGGTAAGACAGTGACATACATAGTTACTGAACGCATGAGGTACAGTAGAGCTATTATGAGGAACATCCTCCTAAACACAATATATCTGAAACAAAGAAAATATTAAAGTTAAAATATGTATGAACATAACATAGTAAAGACATTGCGAAAAAGTTGGCATACCTATGTTTATGAAATAAAATTATCAGGAAAGTGACGTTTGAAGAAACCATTATAATAATTTCTGAGACATCAAGAGCCCAATCAACTTGAGGAAAAAATTCAAAGAAAATATCTGGCAATGGTGGATATGTCTCTTTGTCGGGAACTTTTTCATGTACCAAAGAGAGAGATGCAACTGACATGAGAGTGCCAAAAAACACACACAAAAATGCTGCCGAAGAAAGAATTTTCTATTACTGACACTATTTGAAAAGAAATATAAACACACAAATTTGATTGAAAGTAAATTCTAAACTACTTGCCCATTAGTGTTTTCCACTTTTCTTTGGGGTATCTCTGTTCTTCTCTCTCTGTTTTGGGAATATTGATCTTTACAACTCCATTCGCTTTAACTCCGGACCTGCCTTCATCCTCACTATGGTCCTCTCCATCCTCTTCATACTCCACAGTAATGTGATGCCCATTCTGGAAAAAATATTTAAAAAGTAAGTACAAATATGAAGCGATGAAAATCAAGATGAATCACAGACACAATTTTCGAGATGAGACAAACCTTGGCTGGCAGCGGCAGAAGGGGCTGCCTTTGAATGAGGTCCGTGTCACTCATATTGGAGGTGGTCGCCTGCTGGCTGTGCAAAGGTGAGAGGGGGAGCGAGGCGCCGGCCCTCAGTTGCGGGTGCTGCGAGTCTTCCTCTGGGTTGGAGCTGCTGCCCTGGCGCTCGAAGCTGCCATAGTCACTGTGGCCGATGGCGCCCTTCGGGTCCCAAACCATCCTGGAACAGAGAACAGTTCGAGTTAAAAACGACTGTGACAATGATGGAAGTTCAAAGGTCATTGTGTTGCGGATCTGTACGACTGGCACCGCTGCCACATGAGCTAGGGATTTTTAAGTCTACATGTTTCCCGTAAAAAATTTGAAACTTTTCCAGAAAAAAATGGGGGAAAGTTACAATATTTCCAGAAAAAAATAACTCTACAGAGAAAAAAATATCAGGATATTTTAAAAAAATTCTTGCATTATTTCTCAGAAATACTTTTCCGGAAAATTAAAATCCCGACACAGAGCGCCAGCCAGGCCGGAACAGGCTGACCTCCTTGCCTCTGACCTGGCGAGCCACTAGATCAAGAGCAAAAGTTGCAAACGTCCGCGAGTGGTACGAGGGGGCCAGCTCAAGGTTCGGGACCAGAAGCAACTCATCTAACAATTTAAAAAAAAAAAAAAAAAAAAAAAAAAATGAACAAGGGAGACGTAGAACAAAGTTTTAATAGTTTGTGGCTTTGGCTTAGCCCAAAATTGATTTCAAGTTTCGCTGCTATTGTGATGGGACCGTCCAGAAAATGCGTCCATCATTTGCCGTTACAACAGCCAGGTTTAGCGAATGCACAGTCTCATAGCGCCTGGGTGGTAGGCAACATCTGGCTTGCCGTACATGTGTGTACCGCGGGAGGGCCTACCCCGAGTCCCGCAGGCGTCGAGCTCTCGTAATTTTGCCGAATAAATCTGAGTTAATCCGGGCGGACTTTTTTGACAGTCCCTAAAAAAACGAAAAAGCTCCGTTAAGTACCGTGTGGGTTTGGGGCGACAAAAAGTTTTAAACTGTTAATTTCAGGCACAATGTCTATTAACCCAGTTTACGGGTCATCCACCGCGAGGTAAAAAGTTCACTGCGGGCACCGTTCGATTGCTAATATGCGGTAATGGGGATGGGGTGGCGACACGGGAAGCTACGGAGGTACAGTGGTCCTAGAGTGCTTCGTAGAGTGCGCGTAGAGTGCCCTAGCAATCATGCCGCTGTCGATCAAACGATGGGGAGCGAATGAAGCGCGCAGCGAACGGGGCGCACACATCCACTCTAAATCGCCCAGCACACGATAATGGCTTTCGGCTCTCACGTGGAGTATCTCACAACATCAGAGTCACGCGCATGGCGTGCGCCCTAATGTACTTCTACCACGACGAACATTCGCTTACATAACTGAAAAGTTAAATTATTGACTTTATACTAGCGTTCAGGCTTTCACAAAAAATAATAGTACGTGTATGTGCTTGTGAGGGATTCTGAGTTGAAAAGGACCCCCAAAACACCGCAATTACGAAATTGTAATTCTCGTTCTCCCTAATACGCAACGCAATAGACGTTGGTAAAAGATATGAGTAAAAGAGAGGAAGGCAAGTGACCAAGAGGGAGGGACAATTTTGGCATGTTAAAGGTGAGGCGTGTCCTGCTTTGAGCACATCTAGGCCAGATACACATTTTTTATCTACGTTACAGACAAAATAAAGCATTTGCTCCTAGTCTAGGCACAAAATTGTACCGCCTTACATACCGATTATTTTGTACCTGTGTACCTGATGAAGATGTGCACAAAGACACATCCACACTGAAAACCTTTGAGTGGGGTGTCGTGCTCGAAATGAGTGAGACAATTTTGCCTCGCTCAATCGTAGCGATGACTCTAAGGCTAACCAGTCGTATGCACCGAATTCTCACTCTGGAGGAGTAAGATTTCCCTGACCTCGCCCAATTGCAGTCAGAAACCTCACTCTCATTGGGTGAGGACCGCAAGTTATGACTCAAATTGAGTGAAAGTCAGATATCTCGCTCTCAGGAGAGTAAGATTTTTTGTGTCACTGATCTCGCTCTCCTGAGAGAAAGATATCTGACTCTAGCATTTTCAGTGCAACCTGCGTTAAGCATGCAAAAAATATGCCGTCAGACTGCAACGGAATTACATCCCGAAGTGTAGAGTTAAGAGGGAGGAGGGGGGTGGGGGGTGAACGCAAACAAGTCTGCAACTGCTGCCCCCCCCCCCC